CGATCACGATGGCTCTGACGGGCAACGACAGTCGCGAGTACACGCATTTTGCCAGCCTGCCCCATTGCCAAGGATGGTGTAATAGAATTTTCACATTCCTGACTCGAAGTTGCTAGAGCTGGGAGGCGGCCATTCCACGCCCGTTTTGCAATGTGTTTGCACATTGTGCAGTACGGGCTGCTGAGAGTCACTGCGCGGCGCTCAAAGTCCTTCAACGTCTGTGGTGGGCTAAATTTTAGGCTGAAGCGAAATAGCTTCACTCTGTCCTCGGTGCATCAATCCGCGGCTGTCCTTCGCTATGCGCCCCGATCAATCTACACGAGCAGAGACGGTGCGATGAGCTTGTCGGGCGAGCAGCCCAAGTCAATGGGGCCGAGAGCGAAGACCACGGGGCGCGACTGCCGATGTTGCGGTACCATCCAACGGCACGCGCTTTCGCCGGCGTCAGATCGGTAGGCAAGGCAGACGACTAGTGCCGGGTCGTGATTCGACACTTGTACGTTAGAAGCTTGATGCCAGCACATTCAGTGATGCGAGCTTTGGACGCAGCACTCATTTGAGGAGCTTCTGTGTGCTCTGCCACCCCGCCATGCAGGGCTGGAAGCTTTGTTCATTCGTATCTCGACGGCGCAAGGACTGTCGGTCCAGGCGAAGACCAAGACGTACTACCCGCTTATCTCACCCAGAACTGACCTCTAGGTGCGCCTGGGCGCGTATCGGTCGGCAGTCGACCCACACAGACGACGAGTGTAGGTAGCGGGCAAGCGCAAGAAAGAAGCGAGCGGACGTCCGGTCCTCATACACTCCTGTTTTGTCAGAACCGTTGGGTTGCGCAACTTGAGATGGCTTCTGGGCCCGTCAGCTGATGCAGCGCATCATGTCAGCTACACGAGCCAGTGCACTGCAGGATTGCAGGCAGCACGGTCGCACATTCACTTTGCTACGCACACAGAGAGGGGTCAAGGCAGCACTGGGACCGCGTGTCCTTCTGAACACGCTGTGTGATTTGCTGTGGAGTCGATGTGACATCCCGCCGCAGCCCCAGCTGCGCGCGGGGAGGTTCAGGCAGTCAGCCACAGTCTTTGGCCCGTTTGGCCGGCGATTTGTCGGCCCGACGTAGTCGACCGCGATAGCCCCCCATGCACGCGTCAAAGTGAACAGAACGTCTTGTTTTCGACAATTGCTTGGTTGCTGGTGGCTGAGCACTCGAGTACGACCACGTCGTAATACTGCACAGCGGCAATGGCATTTGGAGTGCTGTCACAGTCGTGGTGTCAAGCGAGTGAGCCTCGAACGTGGAAACGTCCTCGTCTGCAGTATGCCTGCATCCTCTCTGCGAGGTGATGCCTGCAAAAAAGGGCATTGGATGCACAGTAGCCACGAATGGCCCGCGTGCTGGAACCAGCTGCGACGTGGGAGAATCTCTTGTTGAGGGACAGTACATTGCGGATTGTGCTGCTTCCAGCCAGGTACACGCAACGCGGCAATGCTGGTGAGGTGGGCTGTATGTTGAGCAGTTTGACGTCTCGCCGAGTACAGAGGGGCTGCCGCGCTGGCGATGCCAATGGAGTGAGTGTCTTCAATGTATCAGTACGCAGCTTGGTCGAAGCGACCGAGGAGACTCCGAACCCGGCTGCATGAAAGCTGACAGCCATGCAGCCAGCCCCACGCGCAGCATTCATTATATGCACCAGCCGGCTGAGTCGACACAGTCGACACACACCCTGATTCAAGTCACAGCCCCATCATCACCCATACGTACAGTCAGTGCGTGGCACAGTCAAGTACGTGCGACACGCTCGCGCGCATGCAATCGCCCCCCCGGCCGTCTCTGTCTTCCTTCCTTCATCCCTCGCGATGCGCGAGCGCGGAAATCCAACAAAGCTTTTCCTAGCAGCGGTGCGCAGCCATATGCTGCATACATGGGCACGTCACGCAGAACCCCATGTCAGCAACACGCATTCGTGATTGGGAACCGCAATCCAGCGCTTGAGCTTGGCCAATCTAGTTCGACGAAGTCACTCACGATCGATCAGCCCGGGTGCAAGGTAGGCTCGCAGCAAGGTACTGCTGGGCACTCACAAGACTCATGCGAGTCTCTCAGTCGCGTCAAGCTTCCAAGTGGCTTGCGCGGGTGCGCCGCACGCACTCAGACTGATGATACGTCGTGAGATGATGAATATGCATGAATGGTGAATGTGCCTGATGTCACGCTTTTGTGTGCCCCCTGTTGCTGCTGCAATTGCAAAGGATCGGAGAGCCGAGCGGAGCGGACTTTGCAGTCTGGTCAACTGCCCTGCTGCATGCAGCTAGCTGATCGGGCCGCCTGGCTTAATTCGTGCTCGAGGGAACGCGACCACCGTTTGATGGTGCAAAGCGGCTTGGCGTGCACATGCATGCGCGAGGTGAGTTCGCAGGCTGCTCTTGCTGGACCATTCGTGTTTGCGCGGTCACATCTCACGATTCTTTGTCAAGCAAACTATAAAGAGTCGCGCCCAGTTGCGCGAATACAGTTCAGTAGACGTGCCATCACATTTGCATTCATCCCTGCACCCCTCGTCAACAACACCAGCGCCAAGGCATCTCGCCTTCGCCGTCGCTTGACTTGATCTCTATAGCATCTCTCGACTCTATCTGCAGCCGACTACGCAGTAGGCTGCGAAGAGCCTCTGTGCGCGACAGAACCACCCTAACCCCCTCCTTCCCTCTCGAACACCTGCGCTTCTCTCGCTGGGACCACCCACGGCCACGACAATATGTCGAGCACCACCCCATCACCAGAGGCTAATGCCGCTCTGGAGATCTCATGCGACGTTCACACTGTACTTTTCGACATGGACGGTACCCTCATCGACTCTACACCCGCAGTCAATGCCACTTGGCGGGAGACATGCGACAGGTTTGGACTCGACTACGACGAGGTGGTGAGCAGAGCATTCGGCAGCTGACAGTCCCCGCGTAGCTTCCGAACTGGCGCACCACGCGCCGAAGGCTGACTCCGTGCTTTCTTCGTGGTGTGACATCGATACAGCTCAAGACTTGTCATGGATGGAGGACGATCGAGAATCTGGCCAGGTTTGTCCCTTCTATCCCAGCAGCAGACATGCCTAAAGAGGTGACCATCTTCGAGGGCAGGATCAGTGAAATCGCTCAAGATTGCTTGGATGGGAAGAGGCAGGACGGCAGGATCGACGCTATGCCTGGAGCCAAGGAGCTGCTACGAGACGTGAGTAGACGGACTCTTACGGACGGTGCTGTACCGGTCCGAGTCGATGGTGCAGCTCGTCGATGCTGTGCTGTGCATTGCATCGAGAAGCGGCACTACGTCAGACTTGCTCGCACGGGAGCTTGATTGTTATGCAGCTGTGTGCTGAACAGCAAGAAGAGCGTGGACAGCAGAGCACTGACGCAGAGGTCTCTCGCTTGCTCAAACAGATTAGCGCTGGCCGCAGTGAAAGTCCAACGCGAAGGGCTGGTTGGGCCATCGTCACGTCAGCAACGGCCGCATACGCTCATGTCGGCTTCGCCTCGTCTCGAGTGTCCGCGCCACCAGAGATCTTCATCACGGGCGACATCTGTGCGCGAGGCAAGCCGGATCCCTTCCCCTACTTGCTCGGAGCGGAGAAAGCCTTGGCACCTCCTCAGCAGTGCGTCGTCGTGGAAGATGCCCCCGCTGGAGTCAGGTCTGGCAAAGCTTCTGGTGCTAGAGTGCTGGGACTATGCACCACACATTCAGAACGGAGCATGTGGGAAGCCGGGGCTGATTGGGTAGTTCAAGACTTGAGGGACGTCAGCGCCAAATGGCAGGGAGATGGTCCCGCTGCAAAGCTGACGCTCAAAATTGCGTCCAAGGCGGCTCCCACCGATGTGACCCAAACGACGGGCGGCAAAGCTTGAGCTTTTGGTTCGCCACCAAGCCGCCGGCGTGACCTCACGTTCAGATTCAGACTCAATTCAGGTCCGTCATCGTGGCCTGGCTACACGCCTACTTGTACACACAGCACTCGAGAGTCTCACTGCCAACCGACCATTGATATTCGCTGCCGTGGCTCGCCCCCTTCCCTAGCTTTTGTTGCTACTGTTCACTGTCGCGATCAGCTGGCACCTAGTGCTCATGTCCTGTCTCAGTTGTTTCTGAAGAGCAAACCCTTACATTTGCGCGTGCCGCACAGGCACCTGATTGCGCTCAGCTTGGAATTGACACCGACTTCCTGCCCCACGGGCTTATCTGCAAGTTCTTCTATAGCCTTGTCGCGCTGCACAGCATCTGTCATCTCCTCTGCCTCTTCTTGTGACTGACCAGAATAGCAAAAGGTGAGCTCTTCATTCTCTTCAATCGCTCGAGTGGTAAAGAATGCCAAGAGCGGCCTTCGAAAATCTCGAGTGGCTGCAGTGACGACACGGAGGATCAGTGAGCGCGTCGAGGGGAGCCGGTCTCTAATAAGATTTGAGCATCCGGATCTAGCCACGACGACACTTACATGTATACACGGTGTACGTGGCCATGTTTGGTTCGCATGACGAGTTGAAGTATCGGCTGAGGTTGCCCCAGAGCGCTGCATCTAGCGTAAATGGTTCGTCTCTGGAAGAGATCTTGTCGCGTATGAATCGTTCCCAAATTTCTTCTGCTTCGCTCGACGATACGTCGACTTGCTCTTTGTCATCTGTGTACTCGCTTTTAACGATTCCCTGCTCGCGCTTGACGTACTCGGCACCGATGACTTCTCTCTTCCTAGCCAGCAGGGCCTGTGCGCCCCTCTCACCTGCGCCCGCTTTGGCCACAATCTCATCTTCAAAGGGCTGATAGTAGATCTGCCTTGGGACCCACCAAGTGTCTATGTCGTACGTGTACAAATTGCCGATCTCCTCGTACAGCTCGCTTCGTTCCTGACTCTCGTCATATGTCAGCAACTCGCCAGCATAGTGCAGCACAAAAGTGCCCTTAAAGACGAAATGAAGAGAGGTGAGACTCACTCAGCTGTGATTGTCATCCAAGTCAGCTCGCTGAGTGATTCAATAATACTTACACGCTCAAGAGCCCTTGGGCTTCTGATACCCCAACCCTTCCCCTCTGTTTTAAAGAGATCGAGCCAGACCTTTCTGCCTTTGCTGACAACTCTATTCGGGCAATCGATACTGCAACCGCAATTTTCATTGCACTCCCAAATGGTGGTGCCTGGGTACTGTCGGGGACCTTCCGCTAAAATGCCATCGGCCTGGTAGGCGCTGAAACGTCAAGATGACGCGAACAATGAAGGTAACGCAGGGCGTTGCCGCTTGAGCTTGGTCAGACGTCTCGCGAACAACGCGAGGACGAACAACCTCACCCTATGGGAGGATTCGCGCCCATGCATACATGCAACTCACAATGCATCGGCAGCGAAGTTGGACCAGGTCGGATCGAATTCGCGCCCAATCTGACGGCACTCGCAGTGCTTGGGGTCGCAGACATCGTCGTCGCACGAGCAGCCCTTGGGAAGCACGGGAGGGTGCTGCGCGGCAGGCACATTCGTGCTTTGGATGATGGCGTCCGTGTAGCAGAACTCCAAGGGCGGAAGGACCTCGCTGTCCACCGTATTGGTGACGCTGACAAAGCACAAGGTTGGCGTGTGATCAAGCGGGATGTTAGTCTAGTACTGCTGCGCGCATCCACAACACCAGCGCCGCAGAGGAGGAGCACTGCTCACCTAAACGGCGCCAAGGTGCCTTCGCACTCGTGTACCTGAGCGATGAAGACATCTGCATGTCTCGAGTCCAAGGAGTCGCCACGCGCCTGTTGATCAAAGTGAATGATGTCTGCAAGACGTGTGGCATTAGTGCGCGACGCAGAGAGATTTCGTATCTCCTGAGAACCAAAGTTGAGACGTCTACCGCTGCTCGCCGGTGGTTCGGCGGCTGGGCGTGCGCTTCGAGCTTCGACGGCCGCCATGCTGAGCCAATCGCATGCGTGCATATAATGGGTGCTCCCAGGCGCAGCACAGCTTGTTGGCCTTGGAACGATGCGATGAGCGGGTAAAGCTGCTCCACTCTATCGAGTTTGCAGAGCGCGCCTGCTCGGACGCGAGCCAGTCCAGATGGATGAGCGCTGGAAGAAAGGGCAGGTGCCGGAGAGGCGATCTGCGATCAACGGCTCTTGCCGAAGCTGCGAGCACGGTCACAGCGTCGTGATTTACGGCGTGACAAGCGCAGATTCGCTGGTCTGGAGCAGACAAGCTGCGCACGCAATCAGCCTCGCAGCGTAGGCTGATTCGTCAGCATGAGGGATGGTCGTTGTGTTCGGGTGGTCGGAGATGCTGTAGCCTGCTGCTCTTCACGCGCCCAAAGCAGAGAGGCAACTTAGTTGCTTGCCTCCGCGTCTGGACGGACCCGCGAGCTTCAACATTCACGTGATCACGTCGAGACTCACGTGATCGTGCGGATACACGGCGAGCGCCCAAGGGGCCCCGGCTCGTCCAACGTTCAGGACCGTCCATGTCGCTGAATCTGCCGCATACACCCGGCTCAAGAAGCTCTGCAGGGTACGGCAGCAACGTCTGTAGCCCTTTGTGAAGAGCGTGTGAAAAACGCACACCGAATGTGAAAACGACACGGAAACGCGTCTTCGTGATCTTGTACATACACGGTGAGCGCACAAAACGCCGCGGCTCAGGACCGTCCATGTCGCTGAATGTGCGGCATACATCCAGCGCAAGGAACCAGCAGCGACGTCTGTAGCCCTTTGTGAAGAGCGCGTGAAAAACGAGCACCTTAAATGGAAACGACATGGAAACGCGCAATTGCGTCCACGCTTTCCTCCCGCAGTTTTTGGAGGTGTCGTCCAGAGCCAGTGTGGGGATCACGTGATATGCGCGCTCACCCAGTATGTACACACCCTGCATCTATCGTGCATGAGCACTCTAGACACCTTACTACCACCTGTTCGTGATGCGTGTGGCCATCATCCGCGTTCGCATTTATCTGACTCTTGGTGGGCACCTCTGAGTCGGGCTTCGCAGAAACGTCTGGGGAAGGGTGTGTCTAGGAAATGCAGAGGGAATGGGGATGCGTTCCATAGCAGAGATGGAAACGACAAGGAAACGCGTGGGCAAGTCTCGAGATCGGCGCTTCCACGCGCGGCTTTCCTGATCAGGGTCGTTGCTGCTTCGGCGTTTGCGTCTGTGCGCCTCTCCACCTGCAGATGTATCTCACAATTCATTGTCCCAGCTTGACCGAATACTCTGCCTAGCAAACGTAGCCGGAACCAGAGGCGACTTCATAGGAACCGTGGAAACGACCGCAAAACGCGTAGGACCGTACGATAAACGTCAGCCGACAAACACGCGCACGTTGTTGATCGTCGTCTCCGTCGAATCCATACTGCGCGTTCCCGCACTGCGTCAAGCCTCTTGGTCTTTGGCGTTTGGCGGACGCTGTTCACAGCGGAGAAAAGCCATCCAAGACCGAGCGCAGAGGTGTAGCGGAGCGATGGCAAAGACGAGCGCAAAGAGAGTGCACCGGACACGCAGAAACAGCACTTGCCGAGTGCGCTCTCGCGCGCGTGCACGTGCGTATGGTGCCTTTCGCACGTTTCACGTTTCTGCCGTACTCTTCGGCTTTTGGCACTCGCTTTGTACGAATCGTTGCTAAGCCTTGGCCTCGTCTTCATGTAGGATTCGTGGCAAAAATGGATGGGTGTTTACAAGCTGTCGGCGCAGAATGAGCGCATACACACCTGAATCGAAGTACATGTATGCGCAGGCGAACGCGGATGGGCCGGGCGCGGCGCGGGCTCCGCCCGCGTTCGCTCAGCGAGGCTAGGAAAGTCGATGAAAACGCACACGAAAACACACGGATCGTAGAGCAGAAGCTCAAGAAGCGCACCGCGAGCGTACCAATACCGCGGCTTGAAAGCCCAGCAAACGCAGGACGAACGCACAACGAAGGCGAGTCCAGAAGCTACAATCGACGGATGGAAAGCACTGCAATCAAAATAGGGACGCATGGGGTTTCGCCGCGAGTCACGTGATGAGAAGCTGCTCTGATTAGAATTCAATGATTGCACTCACAACTGACTCTTGACTCCGTCTTGACGATATGCAGGATGAATTATTCACAATTCTGGGCGTGTGTCGCGCGCGACTGTACTTTACACGCACACAGTCAAGAGTAGTAGAGTCGTGAGTAGTAGTTGTATGTAGTGCCGCGGTCACTGTGCACGGCCGTGCTGCGCGCGTGCATCGTGTGTGTTGTGAGCGCTACGGTGAGTCGAGAGTTGATGTGAGTCGTGGCGCAGATGAGCTATGGGGACGTAGGATCGAGTCGTACACGAATCAGCAGATGTTGAGCTCCCTCACCATCATCCACGCGCATCTGAAGTGTACTCAGTCACAGAAGCGAGCGGTGTGAGTGAGCCACCCGATGCTGGATCGTCTCAGCAAACCACGCGCCACCTTATTGCGCTTGTGAGGCCATTGCACATTCCTAGCCCCACGCACTTGGACTGCATCGCCCCGGCGCCCAACTCATGACCGACCCCAGATATGCGCTTGTCGATGACGACACGGCTTGATTTGCACCATCACTCGCCGCACTGCGCACCTCGACGGGGCGCTCGTCTCTTTTGTGACACGCGGTAGTCGTGCGTACTCTGCTGTGGGTCTGGTGAACCTGGCACATCAGAGAGGTCCACCTTCCTCGTCCCCAAGGGTCGTCTGCCAGTCAAGCATTCACCCGTTTGTCAACACCGCAAGCCATGCCGCCACAGGTCAGCATTGACCTCACGGAGGCGAGTAGGCGTTCTAAGCCGTCCTGACCCAAATATCCCACCATTCGCTCGCTGATTGTGGCCCCGATCTCTTGTGCGTCTGTGCATGTGCCGTCCATCTGCTGTGCGTGGCCTCAGGCACCGCGCTCTCCTCACAACGTCATTGTGATTTCCGACTCCGATGAGGACAGCACAGGCAAGCGTCCAACGGCTGTCGATTCGAGCTCGGACGACGAGCAAATCGTTCTCACATCCTGGAGAGGAGGGTCTAAGCAGAAGCGCCTGTCCAATTTCGCGGGCGAGCAAGAGATTGCCAGTACTAGCCCAAGTGCCAGCGTCAGGTCTCCCGCTCCTCACTTCGAACGCGCCACAGATCGAGCAAGCTCATCCAGGGCGTCAGCCCTACCCTCCGGACTATCTGATCGCGCAACACTTTCAGCCGAGCACGGTGAGCATCACGGATCAGCCCCGCATGCCAGACGCGCCACTTCAAGAGGTGAAGTCGGCTCGGTGCAAGGGGTCGGGTTTTGCAGTCTTGCGACATCGTCTTTAGATCCCTCTCAAGCGAAGAATCTCTCGTTGTCAGAGACGGCAGCTCTGGCGACAGGATCTGCGTCACTCCCCTCGCAAGCCTCACGCATTTGCACACTCAAGCTTGGTGAGTCAATCTCTAGCTGCTCGATCCGCATGTCAGCATACACGCGCAAGTCTGACCTTCACACCTCACTTCCTGGCGCCGCACAGGAGTGGACGCGCAGAGTAGTTCCAACGCTATACGGGCTCAATGTGGCAAGCAACTTCGAGTGCATCTTTCAGGTGGTTCATTGGCAGTGGATGCGCCAGGCAGCATTCACAGTTCTGGACCTGTACGCTTGGGCAGCGTCGTGGGCGCCGAGTACAGGTCGATGATTGACATCGTCCACAGCAGGGCCTCTATTCAGCTCGAGCCCTTCATCGTAGGTGAGCATGACCACAGCCGCCTTGACCGTTAGCATCATTGCGTCCACGCCCTGACCGACTCTCATTCTACACCCTTGCAGATGTATCCAGCCTACCCGAAACATTCAGCATTGGAATCGACCTCTCTACGACCGCTGAGCATGCAGCTGAATGCCTCAAACGTGTCAGAAGCCTCGTCAGTCGTCTAGCGCCTCGTGGCAAGCTCGTCTTCCTCAATCCAAATGGGGATGGCCCGTCAGCTGCTGACTTTGCACAAGAAGCCCAAAAAGCCGCGCTGAGGAGAGGTGGTGCGGATGCATCGTATCATGGGACGCCATCGCGCATGGAGATTAGAGACCGTACTTCTCCATCCGTTCATCCATCCACGAGTGCGTCAGGATCTGTGGAAACCCCACGCTTTCGAGGGGATGACGGTGTCGACGATCTAAGCCGCCTGCGTCAAGAGTTGCAGGCTGCCGACAAGACCAGACTCGTCGACTGGCGGAGGCGCATGGGGAGCACACAAGTCTTTCACGAGGATCTTACAAAAGCTCAAGACGTGGCCAACGCAACCGCCGCGATAGAAGGGCCCAGGTCGCCTCCAAAGCAGAGCACGCTCAGTGCCTTTTTTGGCTCGGACCGATCGCGTGCGCAAGGGCCGAGTCCACAGGGCGATCACAACGTCTTGCTCCAGCACGCATCCCGGTCGACGAAGCCTGAGCCAGGCCCCGCTGCCTCGTCCTGGAGTGCGCGTCTCGCGGAGGGGTACCAATGGGCCACCAACGCTGTGAATGATGCTCTGCAAGCGCATGTGGCCAACTCACACCGCGCTGCCTCTGCTGCTTCAGACAGTGAGTCTATCGTGCTTGTATGCCAGGAACACGCAGGAGCTAACGACTCCAACTATCACCAAACATCGTCACAAGATCCTCTGCCTCTCCCAAGGCGGCATGTGAAGATCGATGGCGAATTTGTAGAGGTTGACGCCGATCCAGCCGAAATCAGCGCTCAAATTCACCATCCGCACGATCGGCAAGGAGCGTCTTCGCGACCAGGTCAATTCGAGGAACTGCTCAACACTATGGCGCAGAATCAATATCGAGGACCAGACGCAATGTCTGCTCTGTATGGCGAGGAAGCGGCCTTTGACGTGGCACGGCTGCCAAAGTACGCGGATCCGGATGCCTTGCGCCGCCGAGGCTTGGCGACGCAACTACATACGCACCAGTTGCAGGGCCTGCGATGGATGGTTGCTGCCGAGCACCGCAAGATGCCCACCACAAAAGATGGTCAGCAGCTGCTCTGGGTGCCGCGATGGGACGCCCGCAAGAACCTCTACTGGTGGCACTTAGCGAAGGAAGAAGCTACGCGCAGACGACCTGTGCTGCCCAGAGGCGGCATTCTTGCTGATGGCATGGGTCTTGGAAAGACACTACAGATCATCGCTCTATGCTTGTCTGACAAAGATGGCGCAGGCGCCGAGAAGCTCGAAGATATCGCCGTGGACCCTCGTCGTTCAAACCCAGGCATCAAGCACGAGGTGCCTCCCTCTACGCCAGCCTCCGCGTCGACGCCTCTCAAGGGGGCGAGAATCTTCGACCTGACCTTTGATTCCTCATCAGGCACCGATTCAGACTCAGATGAGCGCGCGACGATTAAGCGATCAGCCAAGAAGTCGAAACTCAAACCGCAGACAGAGAATCTCAACGTCAGGAAGAAGCAGACGAAAAGCAAAGATCGCTGGAGTGATACCACGCTCGTGGTGTGTCCTTTGTCTATCGCGAACCAGTGGCTCGAGCAGATCGAGACGCACACTCGAGGTATAAAGGCGATGGTTTATCATGGTCCAACAGCGATCCGGCAAACCGAAAGCTTTGAGGAGTACGACATCGTCATCACCACTTGGGATACCCTCAAAAATCAGCACAAGCCGATCCTGCAGGCGCGCGCAGCAGTCGAGCTTGAGGCCGAGTACAATGCGACAATCCTGCCTCTCGAGGACGAGCTGCGTGACGCAATCGCACGTAGGAGGGATGTTGGTCTGACGACTGATCAGCTGGCTGAAATAGAAGCTGACATTGAGATGCTCGAAAGCAGCATTCAGCGTCTAAAAAAGGAGCTGAAAGATGCTGCAGAAGCTGCTTTCAAGCAAGTCAAGAAAAGAAGGCAGACCCCGAAGGATCGGTCCAGCAAACGCCGGAAAGGGAAGGCCAAAGCCTCTGCTGCGACCAGGGTTTATGAGACGGACAGTGACTTTGGCGCTTCAGACGACGACCTGCCACTGTCTGACACAGCTTCGGCTGCGGATGTTCCAAGATCTCCAGGAGCACTGGCAAACGACTTCCATCAAGCGTCAGGTCTGCTATACACGACGCTATGGAGGCGCGTTGTGCTTGACGAGGCACATACAGCTCGCAATCACAAGACGGCCGTCTTCAACTCGATCACTGACCTCCAGACCGAACGCAAGTGGAGCGTGACCGGCACGCCGATCGTGAACGGCACAAAGGACCTGGGCACACTATGTGCGTGGCACGGTTTAGAGCCCTTCTGTGACGATGCCAGAGCTTGGACGAACGGCATAGAGCGCAGTATCCGCCACAACAGTGGCAACGGTACGCGCCTGCTCAATGCCATCGTGCAGACTCTGGTTCTGCGCCGAGTCAAGGCGATGAAAGGCGACGATGGACGTGCGCTGGTGGAACTTCCACAAATCGACGTGTTCCAACACACTATACCTCTACGCGAAGCTGACAGAACCTACTACGAGCTTTGCGAGCGCGCGATGCAGGAACACGTCCAGATTTGGATTCAACGAGGGGTCCTGCGTGAAGAGCGGTCAAACGTTCTCGTCTTCCTGATGTGGCTCCGACAGCTCTCTTGCCACAGAAGCTTGGTATCTCCTGACCTACTAGAGCAGCTCAAGACGCACGACTGGTCGAAGCGCGCAGAAATTGCCAGCAATTCTGCAAGACTGTCTGCAATGGACAGAGAGCGACTTCAGGCCAAGCTCGAAGCCGCCGTCTCCGCCAGCGAAGAGTGTCCTATCTGCTTGCAAGCTCTCTTCACTAACGAGCCCGTCATTACACCGTGCTCGCACGTGTTCTGCAAAGAGTGCATCTCAACTATCATCGCGGGACCCAGCGCTAAATGTCCGCTAGATCGCAAGCCCTTGAGTAAAGCTATGGAGCTGGTCGCGCTCCCGCCTCCCCAGGCCGAGAAGACCGAACAAGCTTCGCCGGTGATCCCTAGCGAAAGTCAGGATGCGCATTGGACGGCAGAGGGTGGAAGCGCAAAGCTTGACGAGATACTACGCATTCTGCAAGGCTTGGAGGAACAAGACCCTACAGAGAAGATCCTCATCTTTTCCAACTTCGCCAAGCATCTAGACGTCATATCGAAGCGACTCAAAGAGGAGGACATTCCTCATTGCCGCTTTGACGGAAGCATGAGCAAGCAGCGTCGCGAGCTCAGCCTTGCGAGCTTTCGCCGACCGTTGGCTGCAGAGAGCATACGTCTTCGGAGACCTTGTGGGCCGAGCACCGTGCCCGCCGTGACCGCCGGAGCAGCTGAGCAGAAGGGATCTTTTCGCGTGCGCCGCTTACTTGCCGAATTGGACCTGCGCCGTGCTCAAGGCAACTCTACGAACCAGCGTCGGGGATCACGAGGTGTGTCGGCGATCAGTCAAGCAGCGAAAGACGAACAAGAGGGCATTGGCACCACTGTTCCGCGCGTCATGCTACTCACTATTGGAGCAGGATCACTGGGTCTCAATCTGACAGCAGCCAGCGTTTGCATCATCGTTGATCCGTGGTGGCAGAGCGCCATCGAGCAGCAGGCCGTTGATCGTATCCACAGAATTGGACAGACTCGTCCGTGCAAAGTCTTTCATGTGAGTCCGTGGTGCCCAGCATTGCCAAAGACGACACACAGCGCGGCTTTCTGACTGACCTTTGCCCCGCCTCCTTGACTGCACGCATCCACAGTTCATTGCTCAGCGCACGATTGAGAACCGCATGCAGGACATTCAACGGCAAAAGGAGCAACTCACTGCCACGGCTTTCCAAAGCTTCACCGCTAATGGCCGCCGAGTTGCTGAATCTCGAGCGAGACGTGAGACTGGGCTCGGCGATCTCGCACAGCTTTTGGGGCTCTCTGCAGACTATGTGCGCATGGCGCGCGAGCAGCAATAGCGTCGATAGTCTCAGTGAGAATGCGATGGCCAGATTTTTGGGTCAGCTTGACAGCTGCACACGACGCAAAAGACGCCCCGTTGTGTGTTCTACTTTGCGAGCATTCTACGTATTCCTGTCAGCGCCAATAGGCAGCGTCAGCGCAATTATGAGCTTCCAAACGTTCCCTACCCTTCTTTCCTGACTGACACGTGTAGCTCGTGATGTTCCTCGTGCCTTGGGGCCGAGAAATGCACCCGTGACTGTGTGACACGATCGGCCGGCATCGACTGCTGAAGTACTGGTGAACATTTGGCGATGGTCGTTCCAAAGATTGGGACTCGTATTGAGTCACACACTTTCACGGGAGATGATGATCATATTGAAGATGGGAGAGTCAGGAGTAGGAGAGGTGTATACATACGCATCTATCTGGGGAATGCGGGTCACGCGCTTCGACAACTTGTGTTGGCGGCAGCAACACCGCATAAATAGACAAAGATCCACCAACTTGGCAAGCAAAGTGCTTGTGATGGACCTGGCAATGGTCACGCAAGGTGAGCGTATGGAGCACGCCGTAAGCCAGGGCTCTGTGCAGGTCCATTTTGACAAGCAAGGGACACGCAATGACAGGCCAATAAGACGGAGACGGTCTGGCACAGACTGATACAGCTGTAACCCAGTAACTCCCTCAAGACGCCTCCCAACCCCCTCAAGACGCTTGCCAGAGTATCGCCTTTCAACAGAAGCAACTTGACCCGCGCTGGCTCACCTCAAGTTGCATGGACTTCGCGATAGACGCAAGCGTCCTGACAGCTGCTGTGCGGTCTGACGCGGCTGCGCCCCCAGAGGTAGTTCGTGTGCTGCGCCGGCCGGGTGACTGCTCTCGCGTCAAGTTGAATGTACACGTGATGAGAGTGGGCAGTATCATTGATATGTGTCCTCATTGATTGCTGTTGCCGTTTGTACGTTGAGTGCTACATCCCTATCCTGTTCATAAAAGAAAAGCAGCAGTTGCAAGTGAAGACAAGGCAGCGAGCAACTCGGAAAGAGGTCGGCAGTAGTCTGTTTCCTTTGCGAGGTGTTGATGACCGGTTTTCGCCCAAAACTCTGTTAAGAATGATGGTCAAACGGTGACGATCCCGC